GGGGGGGGGAAGGATCATCCCTAACGTGGCCTTCCTCTGAGTCCTATCTAGATCCTGAATCTACTGAGAGATCTGAGTGGGACCATCACAAGTCTGTTGTTCCAAACTTCCAAAGAATGGTAGGGATGCAAGTGGGTCGCCTTTTAGACTACTATGTTTCTAATCAGTGGAGGGGGCTGTATGTTCTGATCTGGGGAAGTGGCCAGTGTACCATATGGAGCACCAAAGATGATCAGACAGCATCTGGCTTAAAATACCTGGCTCTGCAAACTATCCTCAAAATAGGACAAAACCACAGAGGTGAAGATAACAGAAATACCTTCAGTTCCCAACTTAAAGAGAAACCCTTGCATTTCTGGCAAGTAACATGTTCCTTTGCTTGTTCAGGATACAAAACCTTTATTTTCTCCCCTGTAAGACAAATCTCAAAATCTGTGGTAGATGCAACCACAGTAAGTTAGCTGCCCACAGACACTGGTAAAATAAAGAAACCACCGCTCTGGAGTTGTCTTTTCCCTGTCTGTGTGCTCTAACCCCGAGGAGAGTCTCTGTCTGGCCACGAAGACTCTGAAAACTTGCTGATATTTGTAAGTTGGGACAACACATAATTACCGTTACTCTGTCTAAACACCCTGATCCCACAAAGCGGGGAGGGATTGTTGGGTCACCACAAATCCCTAGAATGAAAACTTATCAAGACTGGCTCTAGCTTGAAAAATAATTACCTGAATTTGAAGCCATCGAAACAGAAGGACTCAGGCCGGAATCACTACAATGAAGAAGAAGAATTTAAACCTATGCCATACTAAAGACAATTCCCAAAAGCACATGTGGGACTGGCTGCCATTTATCAGGTCGATTACTTAGAAGAGATGTAACGAGACAAGACTACACATTTTACAGGCTATACCACTGTGCTAACCAGGAAAAGACGCCTGTTCTGGGAGGAGAAATCACTTGGATTTGTTAAGAGCCCTTAGCCCGGAACGTCACGGAGACTATTCATGGGGAAAGATAGGAACATGCTTCTTCGGTGGAAATTATACCAATAGATACAGAGGGAGAGGAGACATGGGTAGAGGGAATTTACTTATTTTTAAAAAACAAGATCAAAGTAGCAAAGTAGGATTCTAGGAAGCCAGTTGTTTCTCTAAACTGTTATACTTTGTTGTTTCTGAGATAGACTCGTAAAATGTTCTGAATTCTTCCAGCTACCCAATTATTATTACTATGCTATGAGTAGGTTGCCCATGGAAGTGCCTGAAAATACATGTAAAAGGCCAAACAGATGCTCCTCCACCCTGGACTAATGACTCACATGTCAGCTTGCCGGCGGAGCCACTGCTGGCAAGCGCTGCTGTCCTGGATGTACTGGAGGACTTCGGAGAGCATGGTGCGTTTAAGGCGCTCCTCCTCTCGCGTCTTCTTGAGGTGATCATAGGTCCTGGCACCTGGACGTGTAAAAAAACCCCACCTCAACTGCAACGATGATGCAGAACTAACTGACCAGCAAACAGCTTGTCTTTTTTAGGTTTATTTGCAAAACTGCTCCCACAATTATTTTTCCAAGAGCAAAGTAGATTTCTCCTATTTTAAAATCTTTTTGACAAGAAATTAAAATATTTTTATTCCTTTTCTACCTTTAAGAAATTGTGAGTAAAAAAAAAAACACAAACAAAATACCAAAAAAAAAACAACAAAAAAAACCCCAAGCAGGAAAGTACAAAGTAAGAAAGAATGACTCATATTTCCACCCCCAAAGGTAATTAACATTTAATAGTCATATTTGCTTCCTGTTCTATTTTTCTATCTGTATTTTTTTCAAAGTCACACAAGTGCTATAAGCATACAATTTTCCTTAAAAAGCAATCAGGATTACAAATAAAAACAAGTCCTCACTGACCAGAGGCAACCAGTATCAGGTAACAAACCCTGGCACCAGCCAGCGTCTACGTGCACATGGCCAAACAGAAGTTGCATGGTGCTTTATACAAAGGTACACAGATGCCAAAATGCCACACCAGTGGGTTGGGAACTATGTTCCACAGAGCCCTGGAGTCCCATGAGGATTTACCCATCAGGAGATCAAGGGCACCCCCACATGCTGGTGGATCTGGGTTCCACACCTGACCTGAACCATCAGACGTCAACCAAAGCTGTTCCACTTTTACCTTATTTATAGATTAGGGCCCCGCATAAAATTTTATTTTGAAAATGATGTCCATTGTTAAAAATAAAGAACCATTATACTAGGCTAAAGTTACACCCATAGGGCTACCTCCTGTGGGTACTGAGTGATTGCTGTCAACCAGCAGGAAGGAGGGGATGCTAAAGGTCATCCCAACACTAACAACAAAACCACAGAAACTGCGATTTTTGGCGGATTTACTGCGTGCCCGGTCATGCATGATCTCCAATTTATCTTCAGACTAATTCCGAGAGACTTAGAAAATTAAAACTGGAACAGAACGACAGATCAGGCAAACAGGAGAGCCAGAGCCCAAACCCACGCTGTCCAAGTGTAGACCTCAAGCCCTTAGCGACTGTAACGCACTGCCTTCCCTTACTACCTGGCTCTTCCATGCATCTCTCTCTAACCACCTTAAACCTCAGTTTCTTCATTAAATGGAAATAACAATACCTAGCTCATGAGTTTGCAATGAGAATTAAATGACACGACCCAGGCGCAATGCTCAGCTAGGGCCTGGTGCACTGTAAACTGTTTCTATGAGAGCTTAGCTACTACAGTGTAATTAATATCAACGCCTCAAGACACAGACGCAAGCACCCAGAGCTGGCTGAAGTCTATTAATAAGCATGATCAGACCATGCATCATTCTACTTTAAAAGGCTGGGGGTAAAAATTAGAATACAAAATCCTTTTTTTTTTTTTTTTAAAGAGGCTGTCGAATCCTAGATCTAAAGCGGTGCCTCTCTTTCGTGCTGTCACTTTTACCTCAGAGACTCCATATAGCAGCTTAAATACATGAAATAGATGAAACTTTATTGGAAGGATTAAAAACTCATTCTGAAAAAGAAAAGCTTGTGGGTCTTTAAAAAAAATTCATACCGCCTCAAACAGAGACTTCCTGTGTTATAGGAGACGCCTGTCCTCGGATACAGTGTGTAGCACTTACTGCAGAAATTGGTGATGCCTGCTGTCCTGTACTCCTGCAGCCTCTTGATTTCCCTTCGGAGTTCAAATTCCACTATTTACCCCAAAAAGAACGAAGGAGGAAAATGGGAAAAACAAAATCAACATCAATGAGCACATTTGCTGTCGAGTATTTTCAGTAACTCTGCCTTATATAAAAGGCTGGGTAATTCCATTTGGGGAATCCTATTTGTTGGTAACATCTCATTAGAAATTTTACCCAAGAGCTGGGGAAAACCTCCTCCAGCTGTCTTCCAGCTGCTCTCACCAGCTGGAGACAGTAGCAGCTGCGCTGTCTCTTAGAAAAGTTGCAGTGAACTGGCTGAATTCATTCAGCTATAGAAGTAACAAACCTTTTTAGACAACCAAGTTTCCCTGCTCTATTCACCCTGTGTTAAGAGATCTACCACATAACCGAGTTCTCTTATGAAACCTGTCTCTGGCAGTACTTGATGTGGCCCTTTTGCAAGGGAAGGTCAAAAGCTTGGTGCTCAAGTCCCAGATAATTTCTTTCTCCATAGACACAAAAGAGCATTGTGTTTCCCATAAGCCAAAGATGGCTACTTGCTCCGAGCACACAGCTCAGGCCGCGCTGCTTGGGTTGTTCTGTAATACAGCGGTCAGATCTGGGTGCTTGGAAACAGGACGGAGGAAATGCCTGGTCCATCTGTGGGGTTCAGGTCCTTGAAGTGACCATACACTGGGAATGGCACAAACTGGGACAGGAAGTAAAGGACCAGTCACCTAGGATAAACCGCACAAACAATAAAACCAGACCAGGCACACGGTGAGGGCAACCAACCTGGGTCAGATAAATGCCTACGGCGCCGCGTGAGAGATATCTGCACGGTGAGGACAGGCGAGGGCCTTGCTAAAGTACCTGCCCAGGTCTAAACTCATGTGAAATACATGAATCTCATGATGAAGGTACAGGCTCAACCTGTTTCGTTCGTCTAAGCTGTCCTTCCTCAATAACTTTGATTTTTTTACAGTGAAAATCAAATAACTGGGTAGATCTCTCTCAGAGCAAAAGGCAAGAGAATGATGGAAGTACGAGCTCCATGAGTTATCTAACTCTGTCCCCACTTTAAAAACTAGTTTTAAGCCTTGGCTGGTGTGGCTCAGTTGGCTGGAGCATCGTCTGTGCACCAAAGGGTCACGGGTTCAATTCCTGGTCAGGGCACGCACCCGTGTTGCGGGTTCCACCCCAGGTCGGGCGCATATGGGAGGCAACTGATCAGTGTTTCTCTCACATTCATGTTTCTATGTTTTCTCTCTCTCTCTCTCCCCCTTCCTCTCTAATCAATAAAAAACCATATTCTCAGGTGAGGATAAAAAACCGCACCCCCTCGTTTTAATAGTAAAATAGTTATGAGAATATAGTGTCCGGGATTGTCTTTAAAACAATCCAGGTAAGGGCGGGAAGGGAGTGGCAGAGACAACACTGGGTTGGCCATGTGATGACGACTGTTGAGGCTACATGATGGATACATGGGTTCATTATACTATTCTCTCTACTTTTGTATTTTTTGTTATAACAAAAAGTAAGGGGAAAAACAACTAAACTATTATTTATCTGGGCAAAAAAAGAAAGCCATACGGTTCTTAATCTCTCTTCTCCCACCCTAAAAGTTACAAATTTATTTCATGGTAATAAAGAGAAACAAAGACAAAAATATCCATGTGTTTATTTACAGAACTTCACATAAAACACACCATCATCTCTCCTATTTATATAAACACACGCGCGCGCGCGCGCACACACACACACACACACTCTCTCTCTCTCTCTCTCTCTGTCTTTCTCTCTCTCTCTCTTTCAAGGCTCAAAACCACCTACGTGCATGGCTTTCAATGAACTTGTCATGCTCCACTGGCCCCACAATCCTTGCAAATCGCCTCATTGTTTCGTAAAGGTCTTGGACCTCCTTGGGATACCGCCGTTCCATTACTACAGAGAAAGTAAACGCAACCACATCACACTGGATATAAAGATATCTAGGTTTTCTGCATTTCTTTTACAAGAAGTGAAATGGAAGGGCATTATTCATAACCTCACATGACTAACTTACCACGACAGGAAGCCAACAGGAAAGCTAAGAATGCAAAACACTACACATAAAAACAGCATCACAATGACAATCACATAGGGACGTGGTATCACTGGAGAGCATCTGCACCACTGCACATCCTGATGACCTCCACCCCTCACTCTCTCTCATCTGTACGGGGCAGGAACTGCTGGCAGCAATGGGGAAAGACAAGGAAAAGCAGCTCATGTGCTCTTAGGAACAATGTTGGGCAAATTTTCTGCTATTAACTTCTGCAGGAAAACAATACATGTGCAGACATAATAATCCATCTACAAGAGATAAGCCTGGAAAAAGGGTGTGATCTCTTGCATGCCTCACCAAAAATCTTCCTCAAGTGAGGCATGCAGTATTTCTTCACTAAACTAAGTACCACAACTTAATGTACTACTAATGAAGTTATATTTTGATAACCATCTGCAAGTAAATGGTCACATTACAGGGTCGCTAGGATCAGCAGCTTTGAGGATCACTACTGACAAATGTCTAATAAAAAGAGGTATTGGCAAAGAAGACAGGAAGTAAAACCCATCAACAATAATTAGTAGGGTGGAGCAGCCAGGAACTCTCAAAGTGCTACTTGGTCATTTCAATCAGATAATCAATAGTAACTAGGTTAGTTCTGTCCACCTCGGACACTTATTTAAATAAAGTCTTCTCTTCAGATGAATCTTTTCCCTTGCAGTAGACATTCTTACCCACATATTCTAGGAGCCAATTTGATGGGCAGCCACAGACTGATTATTTTCACTATTAACGCCCCTCCCTCCCCTCCTCTTACTACAGGGATAATACAGAAGAATTTGGTGTATAATTTTAAAATCTGATGAAAAACACCTCTGCCTACCATATTAATGTCACATATATATTCAGTATAATGGCCACTGAAAACCTCTGAAACCACACTGCACACACCACTCCTTTCTCAGAAGCAGCCTCCAGGTAAAAGAATAAAGCTAAACTGGCCTCTGCCCACCAGCTGAGATTAGATATACACAAGGATCAAGGTTTATTAGAAATAAAGGTGAAAACCTACTGACCCTACTAAGAAAAGCCCAGGGATTCTGAGAGAGGAACCTACTACTTGACCAATTATTGTCTATAGAAAGGGCAAAGGAAAGCTGCTCCTGAGTTATTTCTGCAAACCCACAGCTCTCAATGAGGATGAGTTAGAGGCAATCTCATACTCTGCCAGAAGAGATATAAATTGATATAACATCTTTTGTAAAGCAACCTGGCCCCAAGTGTCAGGAGTTTTTAATGATCATAGTCTTTGAACTATTAATTTCACTTCTAGGACTCTACTTAAAAAAAAAAAAAAAAAAAATCTAAACATAGACAAAGTTTTATTCACAAACAAGTTCATCATGGCATTATTTTTAATGATTAAAAAGATTAAAAGATGCTACATATCTAATAATAAAAGGCAGGTTAAGCATATTATTATGTATTTATGCATATATACAACATATTATGTAACTGTTAAAAGTGACATCCTCAGAACACCACAATCACTTGAAAAGTGTATAATGGAAAAGTGAAACAATGAAGGACATGAATGTAACATACTGTATTTATGATCATGACTATATTAAAAGGCAACCCACGACTGGTTGACCAGAACCCCACAGGGGCACAGTGTATCAGAGCCTGTAAGAGTCTAGCAACTAGAATAGGAACCACAAATAACGTTGGAACAAATTTTAAAACAAAGAAAATGGCTAATACTTACACTGAAACTTCCTAAGGTTGATTAATCCATGATCTCTTATAATTCTAGAATGAAAACCACAATAATGTTTACTATAGTTAGTTTTACATTTGGTACTGTTTTCCACATGCAGTTTTTATTGAACATCCTGAACACTATGAGGCAAAATACTGAAGTCCAAAGTCACTCCCCACAAAGTTCTGCAGGTCAATTAGTCACTAACACAATTTTAGGCTCTCAAGCATCACACATTTTTCCTCTCCTTGGGCTTAGCAGACTCTCTAGAACTACTTGCTGGAAGAATGAATGAATCAATGAGCACTGACAAATACTAAAAAACACATGTCTAACAAGATGAAACAGAAGGGAAGCTGTGTTCATGTCATAGAAATTAATCTATTCAACTCAGGGAACTTAAGGGAAATTTAGTAAAAGGGTGCCATGATCACACATTCGACATTTACAACTATACATTCACATAATGCATTAAAACTAGTTGAAATAAATATTGTGCATATTTAATGGAAGGGCATCATAAAACATAATAATATCTAACAGCAACCTCAACAACTAAGTTCTACAATACTGTTTAGCTCGAATTGCGTGTTTTCAGCAAAACAGAATTTAAGGAAACCATGCAGAGTTATGTGTCTGGAAACTTCGATTTATACTAGAGGCATTCATGAAGCAATGGAGCTTCTCACAAAAGCAGCTGGGTAAGCTTCTTCAGCACCTATCAGAAGCTAACTCCAGACACACAGAGAGTATGCTTTACTGTAGATCACATCTTTTTTCTTTTTTAAAAAAATATATCTTTATTGATTTCAGAGAGGAAAGGAGAGAGAGAGAGACAGAAACATCAATGATGAAAGAGTCATTGGGGATCGAGCCCGCAGCCCGGGCCTGTGCCCTGACCGGGAATCGAACCCTGATCGCCTGGATCCCAGGTCCACGCTCAACCGCTGAGCCATGCCCGGCCGGGCTGTAGATCACATGTTGGTCCCTCAACAGTGCCTCCCAATTTCATCAATACCGTAGTTCCCAAGTTCCATTCCTTTTTATTGTTGTGATGCCACCGTATCTCCAGTTAGCAACACCACGTGTTAATAACATGCCTACATGTACACACACACACACACACACACACACACACTCTCTGCATACCCTCCTCTGAACTGTTGAAGTCTCTGTAATCCAACAGGGGTCTGGGACCCATAATTTCTCAACCTGAATGTGTTTTTTGTTCTGTTGCAAAGAGAAGGAATAACCAAGAGTGCCTGAAACCTGGTCAGAATTTCCTTTGGAATTCTTTTAGGTAAACAACTTCTCATAAAAAAATCAAAAAAATCAATTAGAATGAAAACATTACAAAAAGCTTAACAACTTAATGACACCTGAATTTATCTTGTTCCTTTTTTCCTTAAAACAGCGCACTCACATTATTCACTGGCCATCAACAGTTCAAGAAAGGCTCAGGAGGAGGTAAACAAAACAAAACAAACCCAGCAGGTATTACTATCCCCATTTGATAGACGGAAAAATTGAGACCCAAGGGGTGTCTTCCCCAGGGTCACAAGATGAGCCACAACTGGGACGTTCTCAGAGGCTCTGTGCACGTGGCCCACAGCCCAAAGCTGAGGGAAGGCAGGGCGCGGATTCCCGTACTTACTTTCTCCTTCTTTGTCTCTCCTTTAGCCTGGAATGGTAGATATCTACGACAGCCATCTTCAGAGCTTGAAACAAACACACACACATAAATAAAGCCAAAACAAAAATAAATCTTTGACCCAAGCTTTGAGCCTCGTATTGCTAATTATCCCCCACTCACTCACTGGTCCAGGAAGTCTGTCTCTCGGAAACAAAACCAGCCCAGGATACTGACTGTTTGCCATCAGTGACTTTTTTCCTGCGTATATCCCTACGGTAGTACTGTGCAGGTGGCCGTCTCTGCCTTCCGCCGAACGCCTCTTTTGGCCGTGCCTCGCTGTGTGTATCACTAGCTCTCATGCAGCAGTTCGACAAGGAGCCTTAACCCTGCGAACCCGTGGGCTAGAGACTCCGTCTCTTAGAGGAGTCATAAAAATGAACACCGACTGTGGCTGTAACTGCACAGGCGACAAGCTCAGGAGACGACGGGCGTCAGGACGAGACTGATGTGAGTGAGGAGCAGCACAGACAGTTCCCCGGATCTCAGCAGCTTCCAGCTGAAGAGCAGCAACTATTTGGAGGTAGTTTTGTGAAAAGCTCCACTGAAGAGCCTAACAACCCAAAAGCTGTGCCCTGGTTGGCTGCCCACACCCAGTCTCTTCCCGGCTTTAGTCTCATGTTGAAGTCACAGGGGACTGGGAGAAGAGTCCGTGGGTAGCAAAAGCTTACACAGATACAATAGTTCTGGTTCTTTCTTTCCTCGGCCAATTTTTCCACATTCAATATTCCTCAGGGTTCAATTCTCATCTCTCTTCTCACCTCTCCCCTTGTTCCTATAAACTCATCTATTCCTACGGTTCCAAGTACCATCAAAATATGTAATCTCGAACTCACAGACCCCACTGGAGATCTCCACTCACGCAGTCTTCCTTTGCAAGCGTGTATTCTACCTCTTTCCTGTCCCCCAAACGCGCCTCGTGGTTCGATTAACAGCTTTACAGTACGCCTACTGGTCCAACAAAAAAACCCGTCTGGACTCTCCTCCCTCTCCAGATCTAACCAGTCAGTGAATCTTATCTACAGCTAATGCTGAAATCTCTCTCAAATTCATCCCTTCCTTTTTGTCCCCAATCCTACTCCTTAATTCAGGTATCTTGTCTCGCCTAACTCGCCGCATCCACTCTTTTAATGACTCCATTCCTGCCTCACTGCAACAACTCATCCCCTTCAAATGGTACTACAGTCATGCTTTAAAGCACAATCTAATGATGTCATTCCTCTGCCTACAATTCTTTAGTGGCTTCCCACCCACTTATAGGAGTTCAAACTCTTACATATTATATTAGACCCTTCTGTCTTGACTCTGCCTATCTTTCCAGTCTTGTTTCTTTCCATTCCCCCCATGCCCTTTACACCATGCACACAAAACAACCTGCCCAAGATCACATAGCTGCTAAGTACAGAGCAGGGATCCAAACCTAGATTGCCTGGTTCCAGACATTTGAGTAGGAAAGACACTGAAATTGCCCAATATGTTTATTTTCTCCAAGTTAGTCCTATATCCTGAATTTGGCTTAACTGAAAATGAAATGTATATATATATATTTAAAAATCTCAGAAGTAAAAAACTTCCACAGGCTTTTTATAGTCTGAAGACCTCTAGAGTTAAAAGATGAAGACCAATTATTAACAACTCCAGAAAAAAATACGAGGCATGAATAACTTAGCACTATGCTACATTGAACCAGTCTTCTCATCTACAATCTATGAATTCTGAAGAAATGTTAAGACTTAATAATTTCATTAGATGCTGGAACTACCCTAATAACTTATCTCCTTAAGCGTTGTGTAAGTTGAGAGTTTGGTGGTTTTGTCTTAACTACTGAATGTATTCACAGAAGAGGCCCTAGAGCACAACATATGACCTGATGTGTCCTCTGAAAAACTAAAATACATTATTCATATGTTAGGTAACATAATTTCTAATAACACACTAGCCTTCACAACAAGGAATTTGGTTGTGTATGACAATCACTTCTTCCAGGATGGAAAGCTTCATTCCAAAACACAGCTTCTGTAATACTAATAAACAAAAACATCAATCCGATCTCTCCAAAGAATGTGAGATACAAGTTCCAGTGTAGCTCCCGGGGTCAATGAGTCAGCACAGCTTTGTACGTTCTGTTAGAGTAACTCTTCCACCTTCCTTTCCAAAGCATAAGCTAGCTGTGCTCTAGCCCAACCTCTTCTCCTCACTCCACATCCAGCCACCTTTCCCAGTAGTAGTCCCTGAGGGCACCTCCACGGATCAGTGTGAAGCCCATGCTTCTGCTGGAAAGTTTTAGGATGGGGGAAAAAATGGAACGAATTAAGGAAAAGAGCAGAACACAATGGCCTGTTAGAATCGCCATTTCTTTCACTACATGAAAACAAATAAAAGTTGAGCAATACACGATCCTGGTGCACTATCAACATGGTAGCCCTGGCGAGATACCAGAAATAAATTCTGGAGACTCCATCCTGACTCATTACTGTTACTTGCCCTAAAGGATAGTCTCAGATTAGAAGAAAGAAATACCAAAGTCTAACATGCTGGGCTCTGAACAGATGTGTTATGTATGTCTATAACTTCAATCACTGGGAAAGGACCAGAAACACTTTATCTAGGCCATTCTCCGTTGGATCTGAGATAAAAATAACATAAGTTCTAGCTGGGATGATTTGAAGAGGTGAGAGAATGCAATATTTTTTAAAGTTTAAGTATTAAAAAAAAAGTATCAACTACTATGAAAAAAAATTTTTGTTCTTTTCTAACAAGTTCAAAAATTTAAGCATTCCTGTTTCATTTTTTTCTTATAACTGCCCCAAAACTAAAAAGAATTCAATTATATCAAGTCCAAGATGGATTTCAAGCTTTTTTCAGGTAGCAGAACTCTTTCTACCAATGAACTCCCCTGCTTTACGGGGCGCTGACCTATGAAAAGCCCAGGCACCGAGGA